AATTTATTCTTTCTCTTTACTATTGATAGAGGAGAACAATTTTGTTACTGAAAAAAATGTAGTTTTTTTTGCAAAAAAGTTAGAAATTAAATAATGTGATCATAATAGAAAATAGCATGCATAGTCCGCAGCAACAGAAGGGCAATAACACAACAAATTAGAGCTGAATTCAATACAGGTGCATCACAAAGCATATCATCCCAATACACAACAAAACACACCTTGCAAAGGATGGGCTTTAGCAGCAGGAGACCTTCAAGAGTGCCTTTGGTATCACAGAAAAATAGGAAAAGGAGCCTGTTGTGGGTCCAGGAACAACGAAATTGGTCGCTTGAGAACTGGAAAAAAGTAGCCTGGTCTGATGAATCTTGTTTCCTGCTCCATTATGCAGATGGCAGAATCAGAATATGGTGCAAACAGCACAAGTTCATGGACCCCTCTTGCAAAATGACAACTCTTCAGGCTGGTGGAAGTAGAATTATGGTGTGGGGAAAGTTTTCCTGGAGTACACTGGATCCTTTGATATTTGTGGACACATCTCTGAATAGAACAGCTTATCTCAACATCATTGCCAATCACGTACACTCATTTATGGCTGTAACGTTGCCTGATGGAGATGGTCACTTTCAACAGGACAATGCACCTTGTCACTGTGCTCAATTGGTCTCTAATTGGTTTGAGGAACATCAATCATAGTTTAACCTGCTTCTATGGCCAGCTCAGTCCCCTGACCTCAATCATACGGAGCATTTGTGGACTAAGTTGAAAGATCACTTCAAAGTGTGGAAGCGCCACCATCCAATCTGACCCACTTAGAGCTGCCATTATGTTAGCATGGGCCAACATTCCTCAGCTATGGTATCAGCAACTTGTTGAGTCCATATCAAGAAGAATATCAACTGTGATCAGAGCTAAAGATGGACCAACTCATTATTAGAGGGTGTCTCTAATTTTTTGGCCACTCAGTGTATATACATTATGATTAAAAATTTTAAGTAAAATTTATGATCTACATTAAATAAAGTTCTATAAATTTATTTGTTGAAAGTTTACTTTAAATTTACTGATTCTAATTTTCTTGTGTGAATGAATTTAAAAATTTTCTAATAAATTTTGGCAATAAGTTTCATATCAACTGTCATCAAAATCTGTTCACCTAATCCACATCTATGCACCAACAGAATAATTAACTGCAGTTAATTAATAAATATTTCATCATAATTTTGGACTAAAGTTAGAAATATTAGTAAGAAATGAATTTTTGAGACATAATTACTTTGTATTTTAAATCCACCAAACTGAAATATAGAGAAATTCAAAAGTCAATATATATTTTAAGATTAATTTGCATGTTATTATTTGTGATTCAATTTCTTCCAATGAAGATGTATTAACATTCTGCTATTCTAAACCAGTTTTAACCATTCTTAAAATAATCTGAAATTATATCTTGGTTAACTGACATTTGGAAAATGCCATACAAAATTCCACTGATAAAAAGCTTGAAACATCACTATTTAAATAGATAATTATAGCTAATAAAATAATGTAGAAACTATAAAAACTTAAAAGTTATTGCTAAAAATGTATTTTCTTATTTATTTCAAAATTTAATGATGTATTCATGAGTATTTTGTTTCTTAAATATAATAAATAGAAAATTAAGCATTGAAATTTTAAAAAGTAATTAAATAATTGTGTAAAATATTTTTTTACGTTACTAATTTCAAAATTCACTCATTAATAAACAATTTACTTAGAAAACAATAACATTTAATATTCTACTAAAAATTTAATTTAATAAAAAAATAATATAATAATTTAGTAACTATTAAAACAGAAAATATGCAAAAATATCACAAAACGTCTAATCTTGGCATTTTTCCAAATAGGGTCAGACTAGAAAAAGTATCAGTAAATATTTAAACAAAAAAATGCATGATTTAACATTATTGTGGGAAATCTAGTTTGTACGAAATCTGGGAATTACACAGAGATATTATGTTAGTTCTTTTTTTCTTTAAATATTAATCTTGAATCAAATAAAACTTAAAAAATTTTTAATCAAATTTTTATGACCTAATGGATCATCAATTTCATAATACAAATAAATTTACCTCATCAATATTGATTATTTGCCATTACAAAATACAAAAATTTCATAAATTTATATTGAAATGAAAATCCGAAAGTAATCTAATATGAAATGAGCGGGATCTATTGGAATTTTTTTTGATGTATTATTGATATGATCAATATTATATAAATTATTCATATAAAACTGAACCAAAATTCTAAAATTAAAAATACTAGGAGACTCGATCTTGCTGTGTTTTCTAAATGACAGACATACTGTTTCTTTTCTAGCTATATTGGTCGGACATCCATTACAAGAGCAATCAATTGATGTTAGCACGCAGTTTTCAATGCACTTTAAAGAGCACATTCGCCATAACGACAGATCACGTCTTCATGATTACAAAATTTTTAGTCTGAAGTTTCATTTTTTCTTCTTTTTTTAATTCTATTTCGAAAGGAAAATTAAAAGGAAATAAAGTTTTATAATGTAGATTTCACTATTTCGTTTAAGTAACTGGAAATGTTGGTTTGGATTTAATAATTAAGGTTTTGTTTCGAAAATTTCCATTTATTAAAATTATAAACGTATAAAAACAAATTTTATAACTGTTCATAATCTTTCAATTTACTTCTTTTTCGTTTCCTTCTCATTAAAAGTAAAATTTATTCTACAAAAGTAAGTAAATAAACTGTCACTAACTAATTTTTTTAAATATTTAAACGCAAAAATTTTAAACGAATATAATTTTAAAATATTAAAAAAAATAAATCTAAATTGCGCATTAAATTCCACAATAACCGCAGTAACTATGTTGAAACGTCTTTAAAATATTTATCTGATTACAGACTAAAATAAACCTAACGTTTAAAAATTTGAATTATTCGTATTGGCAACGCAATGAATAAATTTCTATATTTATGAACATATATAAATTCCATCATTATTAAAAATATCTACTGTATTTATATATCGTCACCAAACTAGTTTCTATTGTAACTTAACGATTTGATACGATAGCTTTGTGCGCCTTAACCCGGAAATCGCTTACGGCTCCAATGAATTTTAATCTAAACCGATAAAAGATCTATTACTTTCAAGAATTAATATATTATAATATGTTAAAAGCATAGTCTAGTAACTATAATTTCAATTTAGTTTTAAAAAATCTGTGACGTTTTGTTTGCTAGCCTGGATACTACCCAACTATGTTTGAGGTGTTTATAAAAGGGGTGAAGCTGTGCGAAACGATGTCAAAAGCAGGACAATACTCACACTCAGTAGTAGTATGAATGGTCATGCAGTTGTATGCACGACTATTTCGTTGAATTTTATAATGTTAATTTTCAAATAAACTATAACCCAATACTATAAACATGATTAATTAAGATACTAACTTGTAAGATATAAAAAAATCTTTTATATAAACTGTATATATTATCGAACTGATCATTATTTATGGAATAATACGACTCACCGATTTCATTCCATTTTAAACACGAATATTTTAACTAATAAAAAGCAACGTTATCAGAACTCATAACAAAAATGACGTTGTTCATCGTTAAGAGAAAGCACTAGCTTCCTCCCTCCACCCTCTACTATTTCCGTCAGCAGAATTATAACACTGAATCGGGGGTCATCTTGTCAGTAATCTAAGGTTACCACCGATGAATAAACAGTATACATTTCAAAATATTTAACAGATAAAGACCTTCGATTTCTCGGAATATAAGAAAACAGTCAATCAATCCCCGATAATTTCTATTAAAAAATTATAAAAATTACAATGATTTGCGTCACTATCGTCGGACACTTAAAACATACCAGAAGGAAAGCAAAGGAAATATCGAGTTTCGACCCCATTACGGTAAATAAAGCAAATAAAATCCAGATAAACTCATACATACACACATGTTAGAAACGAGGCCATTTTATTCAGCAGTTTAATGAATCAAGTATCTGTTTTTATACACCGGAGGAAAAAAAGAATAGCAAATAAAAGATAAATCTTCTGATACTTAATCATTCGTTCTCAAATGCTAACAGCCTTAATCAACTATACATATATAACTAAGCCAAATTTATTGAATCCTAAGACTATGTCAATAACTTTCATTAATAATTTAGTTCGGTGCACAAACTTAATCATATCATATAATGTTGTCCTCATGAGATCAAAAAATAATTAATAATTTCAATCTCGTAGCTATGTTACTCCTATGTATTAAATCTTCAACAAATGAATTAATTACAATAAAAACATTACATACATTGATATAAAAACTATAAAAAATTCATAAGATTTAATGCAATTTTTATATTAATTACTCATAATAATTATAATTGTACATTCGGCATTTTTCCAAATAGGGTCAGACTAGAAAAAGTATCAGTAAATATTTAAACAAAAAAATGCATGATTTAACATTATTGTGGGAAATCTAGTTTGTACGANATGATTATATAAATTAAGAATGACACAAAGAAAATAAGGAAGAACATCGAAAATAATAAAAGTTACATGCTATATTGTATAATACATCACTAGGATTCTAACGCTATTCTTATAACACTGTTAAAACTATCGATATAGAATTAAATTTTTATTTTTTAAATAATTTCCGAAAAATATTTTTAAAATTTAGCAGATTTTAAACTAAAAAAAATAACGTTATTATTATTATTATAACGAAAATTCGTTATAATAATACATTTTAATTATAATTTTGGCACTATATAAAACGAGCAGATTCCACACACAATCATTTCACAATTAGAAAACTCGGTACCAGTCACTATAAAAAGACATCATCCTTGACCTCATGTAGTCAGATGAGGTCGCACGCCAGCAACTTTATTACTTTAAACTTTCGAGTAATTATCGTTTTAAAATGATTAGATATTATAAAAGTAAACTTACCCGTTGTCTGAAACTCTCAGACCGGCCAATGGACGTCGCCTTCTTGGCCCTGAAACGAGGAAACATTGTCACTATACTGCTACATGGCGGGGGAGGTTACACCTGCCCATTTCTGTATGGTAAACACCAAATACACCTGGACTGTATCTATCATCGAGATTTTAACGGTGTGTTAATAAAACTGCAGGAGATTTCTTGTTACTTGTAATTTCCTAACCGTACGATAATCTTATACGCATATATTTGATAAAAACTACGTAACAGTATTTACTGATTTTCGATCGTAACTCTTACTTTATGTCGAATCACGCCTCATTGTACAACACGAACAATAGCTCGAAGAAAGACTTATATGAATAAGTAATCAGGAAGGAAACTTTTAATATTAAATCGTAAATACTTTTTAAAAGTTTGAGTAATTTGAATGTAACTGCGTGTACTTTATTTAACGTATTTACTTGTTATAAATTTCCTAATATGTTTAAAATATTAATTAAAGAATAATAATAAAAGTTTAATTAATTTTAAGATTGTAAACTAATAAATTTCTGAACTGGTAAATTTTAACGTAAAATTTATTTTTAGCAACGGGTGAAATAAACATACATTAAACTTTAATAAAATCTGAAATAATTCAGCATTTATTATTTATTAATTCTAGTTTAATTCAAAAATAATACGATCTTTTTTAAAATCGGATTTAAGCATATCCACAATGAAAACATAATATCAATAATAATTCCGATGCATAAGTGAAACTGATAAAAACAATTAACGAATTGTAACTACTGAATTTTTATTAAAAGTGCGGATAAAGTATTAATTTCTTCTCCACACGCGCTAATTTTTTCCAAACAAAATCTATGTATGAGATTTTAAAATGCCTAATTCAATGGAAAAAAACAACATTCTTACCTATCGATCATGACCTATCGATGGCGAAGGAGTTTATAACATATCGGCAATCCCTCGACAATGCGTCATCCTGCCCTACTCACGCTCTAGTTGCCGGTAATTGATCAACCTCCGCCATCAAGGCAGGACCGGAAGAAGACAAAAAAACACCGAGTATATTGCCAACACTAATTTACAATCATCGGCAAGACTCACATCTGGGAACTTCGTCAATAACTCCCTTCATATGACTCTCTGCTTGAGCTTTTTAAATCTCGGATATGGTTACGTTAAGAAGAATCGTATCGTTAAATAGATGGACAGAAAAATTACAAACAACACAACGTACACTAAAAATTACGGCACGAACCGTTTTATAAACTCCCAATTTTTGATGAAATATTCTTCGTAAAGATCGTGAATAAAATTAAAATAAATAATACGGTCTGCTTGGTAAAATTTCTAAAATCAATAATAACAATAATAATATAAAAATTGAAAATTGTACTTACAAGATGTCGACCTCCAGATTGCTTATAGGTGCTGGTGGGGGTGATAAGTCTTCACTCCCCCTTTCTGATCGTCCAGTATTTGTAGCCTTCTCACCTGATGGAGAAAAAGAGAGGCAGAATAAAATGCACTGTCTATCTGGCTCAGAAGACTGTCAGAAGTGACCTAGTCGATCGATAGGTTACTCGGAGATGGTACATTGTGCATAGGGGGATAGAAAGCAAGTTGTTTTCCTTAAATCGAATCTGCGTTTTTCACAATTACTGCTTACAAACTATGCAATAACATAATCAATACAAACGTCATAAATTCATTAAATTCACAAATTACGATTCAAAAATTCAGCACAAGCGTATCGATTTAATTGAATTCTATGAAATTATGATACAATCGTGTTAAAGATGAAAAATATATAATCTTTTTTTGTATTTTAATAATAAAATTTTATTAGTTTATGTATATAAAATCTCTACGATCAATTGGAAAAATTGAAAGATTTAAAATAATTAAATTTTCATAATATAGTTTGGAAAATTATTGTAATCTTGTCAGAACTACCTACTATAATATCCAATTAAGTATATGCTGTTATTATTATTAAAATAATTACAAAGTTATTTTTATTTTCAAAACAAATTTCAATAAGCTTTCACGCATATCGTTTTTTCCATGATTTGAAGTAAAAAATAATTTATTTAGAATCTATAAAAATATACTCCGACAAATTAATTTTTAAATAATAATTGGAATTATCATCATCACATAAAAATTTAAATAAGAATACGACAAATATTTCAGGATTTAAATAATTATGTACAGCCTTTCCAAAAAGGATTTTACGTTTCTCAAAGAAACGGCAAGAGTGATACAAAATCTCTCTGGAAACAGCCAATTCAGTTATGTCTAAAATGGACTCTTCCTATCCCGAAATCGGGGAAGGAATAATATCCAAACCGGAAAGAGTTGAAACGATGAAATTAAATTTTTATAGTGAAGTAGTTAATGTATTATTAACTATATACTTTAACTGTGTTAATCTTGTAATAGAAGTATATTTACTTATGACATTTACTATAAAAGCAGTTCATAACTTCTATAATTTATAACAAAATCAGCATTATAATATAAGTGTTAAATAAAGCTGAGTAATGAAAGAAAATGACGTGATTTATTACTTCTATTTTAAGATTTATACAGTTTTCTAAAGTTATAAAATAATCAAAATAAATTAATTATTAGATTATTTCATAATAAACATTCAATAGATTTTGCTTTGATATTTCGTTTTATTATATTTTCTGAATAATAAGCGTTAAGAAGATAAAGTAAACGTGTTACAAATTCTATACAGTGTAAAGTTCTAATGTAATTATAAGGAAACTTGTACTGTAAGTAATAAACTTATATCTAATTTTAAATTTAAAAAAATATCCTTTTCGATTTTTAATTAAAAAATCTGTTAATAATACGATTAAATAGGAATTTTTATCTCACATACTAAAAATTAATAAAACTGACGATTTTGATATATATTAAAGTCAGGTCTGCATTCATGTTTTTGAAAACAATGAATCGCAGCATTACGATAATTAATGAATAATTTTATATCCATTTAAAGATTTTAATACATTGTAATTTGTTTACATATTAAGTGAATGAATAAGGTATAACTTGCTATTTAGCAATAACATCATAGAAAACTAAAAGAACTTACTAAGAGAATTTTTTTATTAATTACTGTTCTTGGAATTTTCTTCAAATTCGTATCAAAAAGATAGAAATAAATTAAATTTATATAAGCTTATCCATTTTTATTTAATCAGCATTAAATTGAAGCATATTCGATGATTAAGATTACTGGATAAAACGTTTTAAAAAAAACAGTATTTTCACAAGTCTATAATTTGCCATTAGTATATTATATTCTTAAATAGTTACAATTATTACCCCTGCCTCATTTCAAAAATACGCTATAATATTTTAATAAAAAATAAATTTTCTATCTCCTTGTCATCATTCCTTACATTGTCAACGTTTTGGGTTATTTCATTAACTTCGATAAAGAATTAGCTTTCTATAATGTTTAAAAAATTATTTGTCGTCATAATTTTTAACTCATTTCCTCTATTTTTTTTCCCATAACTAAAATACTTCTCATTTATCGTTTGATAATTTATATGTAAAAAGTAATCTAATCTTATAAATTTATTGTATGATTATAATGAAACAACGGACATAAATATAGTGCCATTCAAAGCTGTTTAATGTTCTCAATTTTAATCAAACTTTCACAAATATTAATGTGATTACTGAAATATTTGTGAAAATTTGATAAAGACACACTATTATATTTCATTAAAAAGTCTGAATGACGCTCTGTCATTTACTAATTAGATATTGAAATTTGGATCATATTGAATAAATGGGATACAAAGTTATATATTTTATTAGAACATTTCTGACGTATAATTTTATTAAAATCCAATAGCTATATCAATAATATAGCTAATAATCTATCCAATAACTATTTGTCTTAATACGAATCTGAATTATGGTAATCCAATAATTCCAGGATTTTTCCTTATAGAGAAGCGTTAAAATAAATGTTCTGCTACCAGAATTTTTTCACATCCTTTGGTGTCGCCGCACAGTTCTAAAGAGATGATTTTGAAATAGTAAAGAAACAAAAATTTCATGCCCTACAAGAAATGAATGATCACTGGTCACTTGTAAGATTTGATATTCTTACTTTTACAAATTAATCTTTGACTATTTTGACATATGTTTCGAATCGTTTCAAGCTGAAATATATATATATATATAATTTAAATCGTACCAATCCACTGAAAAATAGACCATCTCTTCCAAAATGATTTTTTTGCATACACTCTAAACTTATATAGGTGACAAAGTCATAAATATCCTGATAGAAAATACGGTCATAAACTACTATGCTATTATTAAGGCTGATATTTTGATTTTCACGCTTTTCTACGGGCTGTTGTCAAGTCTAATAAAAGCATAATGATTATTACACGCGATAAAAAGGTTCATCGTTGCGTCATCTAACTAAATAACACGCTTCCAGTTATCACAATCAAATACAGATAAAATTATGACCCGCTCCTTTATAAGTTGTTTGTTGAAGAACTTGCAATCTTATTATTTCTTTGCTGTCTCACAACCATATCGTTAAGACGTGGCCGTACTGTACAATAAACGGACTGATCATAATACAAAAGTTATTTCTAGATCTATTATAGCATTTGCATGGTGTTGGAGATATTTCCTTTATAAATTACTATTGTTCTGCACAAGAAGGCATTTTAGCTTTGTATTATTATGAACTACAGTATACCATTGTTGATTTTTAGTTTTTTTTTAGATCAAATGTATGTTCAGATTTACTTTATTGTAAAAGCTGAATCATTTTTAATAATTTGTGATAGAATGCGTAATATAAAAGTAAAGCAAATTAGAAAAAGTAAAATTTTATACGATAAAATGTAGAATTCTCCATTACAATACTGGCGTTTTCTTTAAGTAAATGAGCAATTAATGCATGTTCTGGTATTCATTGCAATCGCATCTAAAACTGATCAAGTATATATAATTGCCAATTTCAGACGACTATTACTCAGTAAATATTCGTCCAAATTCTAACATTTTATCACCATATCATAAATCATTATTCCTGTTTTCTATTGAGTTAAAATAGTTCGATATAGCAAAAGTGATTGCTAGGATAAATATTAAAATTGTTTTTACATTTACGAGTACAGTAGTTTTCAGCTGCTGTAGTTTAATTAATAATGTTTAATGTTTGGATGATAAGTTTAGTATATCTTTGGTAGACAAAATAATTTTCTTTGCTTGCTTTAGAATAAGATAAACAAAGGTAGATAGCCAAGACGGTTAAGGCGTCAGTCTACCGTTCTGGGGATCTGGAATCGAATTCAGGCAAAAACTACAGAAATTTTTCAGGAATGATCTGTCCCAGATATGTAGGGCCATTCCACCACCTACTGTTCCCATTATGGAACCACAAAAAAAATCTTGTGTCAAAAAATAGAGACAGAGAAAGTCAAAAATAAATAAAAAAGCTTGGCAAAATTTAACATAATATAAATATCTTTTAGAGAAATCTAAGCATTCCAGAATATACTTTTCCAACTCTTATGGTGGAATAAATGGTTATTGCTTACTACATACTCTGAATTAACGAATAGATCCACTTTTATATATCTGAAAAATTTTCATTAATTGCAAAAATCTTATTAATTCTTATTAAAAATCTTAAATTATTCTAAATGTACACATGTATGAACATTATAGCAACAAAAAATTATGTAAACAAAAGATAAAAAGCCAAATTTACAAAACAAGAATATAGTTTATTCTCTCTTAAGGAGTTTAGAAAAATTCCTGTCATCTATAAGAAACAAATAAATTTTATGATAAATTACACTTATTGAGAATGATAATAGTCATAATGTATATTTAGCATTCTTAAAAACTATTATATTACATATAACGGTGCCACAATACTTTCAGAAAAATAATATTTAGACTGGCATGAAAATCAGATTTCAGAAAGAAATCAAATAAAGGTTAGTTTCCATTATGGTGACCATCTTTGCATTTGTTATAGTAGTGGTTCTCAATATCATATTGTTACATTGACTAAGTTCAACAAGTAGAGATAAGGTCACTGTAATGGCAATGAATCTGCTTAACTACGAATTATAAGTTGGTGCAATTAGTTTTGACATTACAGTATCTTCTGATGGTCACCTCAACCATATACTTAGTCCCCAGAGTGCTAGGCTGTTGCCTAAATTACTTCAGGCATCCAACCTACTGCTTTCATACTAAAACATGTGAGAAAGTTTTCCTGAAATTTGTTTTGTAAATAAAACAAAACAAATTTCAACAAAAACAAATTAAAACAAAACAAATTTCTGAACAGAGGGCTGTCTATGTTAGATGTTCATTGGATTCAGAAACAAATAATTTTTCCATAGCAATGTTTTCTTTGCCAAAGTATGAAATTCTTTGATAAATTGTATCAGGGGTTCCCAATCTGATCACTAAAA